AAGCAAATTTCCCTCCATAATGTGGGTAGACGTCATCCAATCAGCCGGAAGAGAACAAAAGACTGACCTCCCCCACGCAAGAGAGAATTCTGTAGCAGATGGCCTTTGGACTTGACCCACAACTTTGGCTCTTCCCTGGGTCTCCAGCCTGCTGGTCTACCTTTGAGATTTTTTTTTTTTTTTTTTTTGGACCTGCCAGCTTCCATTATCACGTGAGTTTATTTCTTTAAATAAATAAACAAACAAACAAATACACACACATCCATACATCCTGTTGGTTCTTCTTTGGAGAATCTTGACTAACTCAGGCTATCTACGGGAAAGGACCCTTTGATCATGAACAGCAGTGGAACCCACAAGCTGTTTAGAACTGTACCACCCAGGTAAGAACTATAGTCAACTGGATCCATTATCACACAGGACATGGCAGGCCATCTGTGACCCACGGCCTGGCTTATATGCCTGGACTAATATGCCTGGACTGCTAGCTACCCAGGAGAGTGACAGAACTCTGGGGCATGTATTCTGGGGCACCAAACCTGCCTGGTCATGACAGATAGACTAGATGGGTCTCCTACTTTCTGCTCAGTGGTATTGTTGGGCATTGACTGCCATAGGCAGCTTTTCCCCCGTGGGGCACAGCAATTCCCGTCTGCCCGCTAGGTGTGGGCCATACTGTTTAAGGACTCCTAAATGGGCTGTGTTGTATATTTGGGTTCTCCAAACACATCCAATTAGACAATGGTGCTGCCTTTATAGCCAAGAGCGCTCAGCGGCAGGTAACTGCCTGAGGCATTTGACAACATTCCATGCCCTGTATCACCAACAGGTGGCAGGTGCCAATGAAAGATGGAATGTACTCTTCAAGGAGAAACTGAAAAAGATAAGTGCACAACCAAAGCTCAGCTCCCGCTGGAGCACACCCTTGAGACAAGGCAGTGTGGAATCTAAATGTGACAATTCCAGGAAAGGGTTGTTCTCATTCAAATAGTGTTTATAAGCTTGAGAGGGAGAAAAGAGGTCTCAACTGGTTATAAGAGACCATATTTAGTTCCGCCGTATTCTTTCTTTTTCCCTCTCATGCCTACCTCCAGGAAACCAGACTACTGGAATCTACACTTGCGAAAAGAGCTGGGGGTGGGAGATTCTAACCAGACGACGCTTCTCCTACTGCTGTGGTTACACCTGCGGACATTAGGCCTATACTTACCTACCAAACACTAACCAGTAGTATAAGTGGTGATGGACAATTCTATTACCCTGGGCTTCGTGCTGGCCAGTCAAGGCAACATATTCATGGTTGCCAATACCTCTTGCTGCACTTGGATTAAGGAATGAGGGAAGGTGACGTGGGGGCCCGCGGGTGGCTCAGTTGGTTTAACAATTCGGCTCTTGATTTCGGCCCAGGTCGTGATCTCATGGTTCGTGGATTCAAGCCCTGCGTTAGGCTCTGGATCCACGGTGTGGAGTCTGCTTGGGATTCTCTCCCTCTCTCTCTGCCCCTCCACCCCTCAAAAATTAAATAAATTAATTTTTTAAAAAGTGGACTGATCTACTTCTCAACTTAGAAACAGAGTGGTTCTAAGGTTGATCCCCAGGGGCATCTGGGACATGGTGGTTTGGCTCCGAGTAGGGAGTCTGGCTGTGGTCTATCCCCCAAGTGAGCCTGACCATCCTACTGGGAGGCAAAGCTGGGTCGTGCTCATCGAATGTTATCAAATAGAAAGGACTTGGTCCAAACTCCCGTCAGTACAGTTAGCTCTCTGTGGAGTGGCTGTGCTCCTGAAAATAATTCTTAACTGGACACATGAAAGGCTGGGGTGGCAGGAAGCCTTGTGGTAGGGAACAGCTCTGACACAGTGTCCCAATGACTGCATAGCTCCCTATAGGCCACGAAAGTCAGGCTTGACCACAGTCCCACCCAAGTTGTGGCAGAATGCATTTGGAGTCCTCCTGCAACATGCAGCCTTCGATTCCCCCTGCAGCACGAGGACATAAGCAGCCTGGTGAGGAGCCACCCCGCCTTGTGGGGACACTGCCACAAGGCCATCTCTCGTCCCTCCTCCTAGGTGCATCCTTCAATTGGTCCCTCCCTCCATTAGGGGGCAGCTGCAGGCCACGAAAGTGTCTGCTTGGCTCCTTAGCCACAGAGAGTCCTACCACCACATGGCCTATCATCTGGTCCCTCCAGTTCCCTTTGTCCTCTGACCTGGGAAAGTGACACCATGTTGGTCTTGCTTTTGCTGCCTGTATGAGTAAAAAGCTGGGTTTGCATCCATTGGGGCTTGTGGTCTCCTTACTGGCTGAGTCTACGGAAATGTGGCAGGCCAACCTAGTGGCTTCAGTAGTAACTCTTGTGCCCCTGTTATAACGCCACCATGCTGTGCTTAGGGACTGCTTAACCTCTTGACAGAGGGGAACATTTTGGGGATGATGGGAATTTTTTTTTAATGTTTATTTTTGAGAGAGAGACAGAGACAGAGGACGAGTGGGTGAAGGGCAGAGAGAGAGAGAGACCCAGAATCTGAAACAGGCTCCAGGCTCTGAGCTGTCAGCACAGAGCCTGACCTGGGGTTCAGACCCAGAACAGCAAGATCATGACCTAGGCCAAAGTTGGATGCTTAACCGACTGAGCCACCCAGGCACCCCAGGGAATGTTTTGTCTTGATCTGGGTAGTGATTATACTAGTGTATACAATTATCAAAACTCATCCAGCTGTAGACTGAAGACTTGTGCCAGAAACTGTAAATTATACATCAATTTAAAAAAACTAAAAAAAAAAAATCATTAGAGAACAAACGAACTCTTGAAAGTTATGATTGCCAAAATGAAAAATTCAGTAGTAGGGTTGGGAGAGAAATTTCCCAGAACACAGGGCAAATCACAGAGACACAGGGAATGATGAACCTAGCCTAAGTCTAACACCTGAGAACCAGGGATTCTGGTTCCTAAATAAATCTAGAACTATGTCTGTGGTAATAAAAGAGACAGGAGTGAAAACAATGAGATGACAATGTAAATCTGGCTAATCAAACAAAAAATTGTGTAAGCAATATTCACCAGTTTGTAATTGACAGCACAATCCTTTGGGGGAGCAATAGAATGCCAAGTATCATCAGTCACATGGGTCTTTACCTTTTGCCCAGGAAACCTCACTGCTGGGACTCTGTCCTAAGACAGTTAACATAAAAAGAGA